AGCAATCATTTGAGATGGAGATAATCATGTGGAGAGTTTTTTGAAAGAGAGATCACTAAAATAACAAGAACTTTGCATAAACACGAAATTATTGAATTGATATGAAAACCAAAACCAAATCAAAAAAATCCGGTGTGCAAATCAGATTCCTTGGTGATGCCAGAATCCATGGCATTTAAGAATTAATGTTCTCCATGTGCGTGCCCGAATCCATAGCATTCGAATAGAAGAACACTAATAAGATTCTATTTAATTTGAGATGGAGATTTAGATGAAGATGCAGATGCAGACAGAGATGAGGATGAAGATGGAGATGGAGATGGAGATAGAGAGAAGCTTTGATATGGACCAACCTTGTGGCTTAGGAGAAAAGGAAAGAACCGATTATAATCGGTTATGGAAAGAAAGGTAGCGTGAGATTTGTTCCAAAAATAAAATCATCTTAAAAACTAATAAGCCAACTCTTTAATCTAATCTAGATGAAGTGTACGGTTGCTTCATTAAAATAGATGGTCAAGATTAATTTGTAGGTTAGTAAATTAAGCATGGTTTGTATGTGATCTCACCCCTATATATATCGGACCAGTTTTCTTTCAAAAATCATTTGACGACCTTCCCGATTGAATATTTTGCTCAAATTTGGTATGGATGATCTAGACTTGATGAGGAACATACACAAAAAATTTCAGCCAAAAATACCACCGGTTATCAGGGGTTCTCACGGGTTCTCATTTTAAGAGGGGTTCTCACTATAACCCTCCCCTATATATATATATATATATATATGTGTGTGTGTGTGTGTATATATATATATGTGTGTGTGTGTGTGTGTGTGTGTGTGTGTAGGATCAAGTGAGAATATCATCTAGGGAGAGAAATGAGAACGAATCACAACTCCTGGATCATCTTATTTTATTATTTTCGGCCAAGGTTAATTTAGTAACTTCGACTTCTCCTTCAATGCAGATTAATTTCTTATCCGTTTAATTAATTAGGTTTAGTTTACCTTCCTTTTAGGATTCTTAGTCTTTAAATTTCTATGCATGTAGTTTCTCCATTTTAGATCAGACGTACTATTTTCTTTAATTAGATTAAAACTTTAATATTGCAATTACATTTTAATGATATTCAGCTCGTTTTTCGTTTTTCTTTCTCTATTCAGGCTTTATTATTTTACCAATCAAACTATGCACTTTTAATACATTGATTCTGCATAATGTCATGTATGATTATGATGAATATTTATGATAATTTTCTTTTACAATTTTAATTCTGCATACCTTTGTATGATTATTCACACTTAATTAAAAATGAAATATAAATAAATATCATCATTGTATCTAATTTATTTGAGAGCAAATATCAAACAATTAGTAAACGGTTCGTTTCAATTGGCTTAAAATTTTGTTTTCCTTGATCGATTACAATGCAATTTTTAAGTGCAATATAAAAAGTACATTTTATATATTTAAATAGTTAGTAAAAAGTAAGTATGGAATATCTAACATACAGTGCATTGACAATCGTATGAAACTGCACTGAAGTGCAAAATGGTAATTGTGTATTGCAGTGCGGGGTGTATAATAGTGCACCTAATAAAAGTGAAAATGTGTGAAAGATAGTAATGCATGATGTTTCAAGTATAAGTGCATACACATAAAATTGCATACCGATTAAAATAAGCATATGGGCTTTACCTTATCTATTTTTCTCTTTAAAATTTTCAAAACTGCTATAAAGGTATCAAGGTGTACACATTGATTTTTTTTAAGGATTATCAGCTAAATATATCCTCAACAATCATCAAATTCACAAATCTATCACATACTTTTACTTTTATTAAAAAGGACTAAAACTTCAATTTTTCTCACAATTACATTTTCGATAGATGAATTAGTAACTTAAGAATAAAATCATATTTATATTTCATATTTTTCACTTCTTTCTAGTTTTAATTTTACAAACTTGTATTGCTTATATCTTATTGGTATTGATAAAATTTGTAATTTTGAAAAAACAAAAAAAGGAAAAATCATAATTGTTGAAAAAGATGAAGTTTGAGTCTTTTTGATAAAAGTGAAAGAATAAGATAGATTTGTGAATTTGATGATAGTTTGGAATAAAATAAGCTAATAATCAATTTTTTAAAAGTGCAACATTATACTATCCTCCGTTCCATAAAAGTTGCAACAGTTTGACTTTCACGTTTGCCAATGCGCAACTTTGACTGTAATTATATTTATTTACATATTAGTAAACATTAAAAAAAGTTAATATATTGGAAATTTACATTAATACAAATTTATTAATATTTTATACATAATGTTTTTATTATATATATTATTAGAAAATCGTAGTCAAAGTAAGGTGTGTGAATAGTGCAGAAATTCCAATGTTGCAACTTTTATGGAACGGAGGAAGTATTTTAAACGGTGCACAAGCAAATTACATAAATAATGTTCACAAGTGCACAAATGTATGAGAAAGGTGCGAGGTGATTTATGAAAAGTATCGTTGTGAAAGGTGCAAGATAGTGTAATAAAAAGTGCACAACTAGTTGAAAATCTGGTACACTTTATATGTTATGCATTTTTAATAAATTATTAAAAATCAAATAATTGCACACTTTGTATGCTCATCGTGAAAATATATAATGGTTCTTAACTTTTAATTTCAAATAACACTTCTTATGAAATTACGTTGCACTCATCTCACACATTTGTGCAGTTTAAAAAGTCATATTTGTCTTTATACAATATTTATATATTATATAAGAAATAAATTCTTTTTGATTTGTTAATAAATTAAATATGTGAGCATTTTTAATGATTAAAAAGATTTTAATGGAAACTACTTTAGCTTTCTCGTACTTTTAGAATTTGTTGCATTTAACGGTTTGGATGATATGGAAAGTAAAAAATTCAAAACAACCGTATATAACATTTGATGAAGAATATGCATCAATTAATACTTGGTGGTGTTTTGCTTTTACTCTAATGCTCCTACGTTACTTTTCATTTCAATTCAAATGACTTGAATTGATTACTTTCCTTTTCCTATACCAAATTAATAGGAAATTGTGCATTCAATTTGATCCATCTCATGATTGTTGAAGGCTAGATTTCATTATTATTTCTCTCCTAAAGCTTCTTTCTCGCCAGAACTGTTCCATATATATAAACGTGTGTGTGTGTGTTTTGGTTCAAATAAGAACATGATCTTATGAGAGAAATGAGAATGAATCTAGACCGTTAGATTTACTTTAAATGAAATTCAATGTGCATTAGATGAAACTGTAATGTGCATTAGGTGAAATTGAAATGTGCAGCACAAATGGTACGATACAGTGACATGTGAAACGGAATTGTGCATTAGGTGAAATTGAAATGTGCACTATGTGAAACTGAAATGTGCATAATAAAAGGTACGACGTGATGTTATTTTTGTGTCTTTTATTCCGCACATTTTCATTTCGTCTAATGCACACTTGAGTTTAAATTTTTATTCTGCCCATTTCAATATCATCAAATGCACATTTCAGTTTCACAAAATGCACAATTCAGTTCTCATTTCTCTCATGGGAGTTCGTTCTTACCAGAACCACTCCCCCCACACACACACATATATGATCTTTGCCCAGCACTCCCTCGTCCGAACACCGCCGTTTGGGGCGGTTCCCGGTGGAATTTTTGATGAATTTTTTTGATCATGTTTCTCATCAAGTCTAGTTTATCCATAAAAAAATCAGCTCAAAATTCGATCGGGAAGGCAGTCAAATCATTTTTTGAAGTTGACTGCGTTTTTATATGTATATTTTGGCGCAATCAACTTCAAAAAATGATTTGACTGTCTTCCCGATCGAATTTTGAGCTGAAATTTTTCGTGGATAAACTAGACTTGATGAGAAACATGATCAAAAAAATTCATCGGGAACCTCCCCAAACGGTGGTGTTCGTACGGGGGAGTGTGGGACATGATCATTTCTCTCTCTGTATATATTATTACCGTTCATTCATGCTGACCAAAGACAAAAAAAATGAAACTCCCTCCTCCGTCTTCTTGAGCTTTGTAAACTTCCCTATCTTATTTGTTTAAAAAACTTCATCGTTTTTCCTTTATCAGGTACAAAATTTAAGTAGGGGGGCGTAGTGTTATACGGACGGTTGTATCGATAAAAATACTCCACGTATTATCGGAGAACATGACGACATGGTACAACACAATCCACTTAAAGAAATGACAAGAAAACAAACTGTTTGTAAGATGAATTCGTCCAAACTCCAAAGTAGTTCAACAAACCTAAGGACTGCACTTACCGAAAAGACAAAAACCAGGAATTAGTGTTGCACATCGAGCGGGTTGGATCAGGTTTGCTATATTTTTTGAGCCTACTCGATTTGTTCGGGTTGGCTATTATTCAACCCGCGGTACGCAAAATAAGTTGGTAAATCATGCATGAACGGGTCAGGTATTGAAAAAAAATCACTTCGGGTTGCATCTTTATGTGGGAGATTAATGTAACCAATTTAAAACTCGATTAACTTGTTTTCAAAACACACGAACAAATACAAGTACCCGTATCTTTTATAAGCAAAAACATTAGATAATAGTATTAAAACATCCTTCCGTAAAGGAAGATCATTTAGAAGGAAACATAAATATATAATAATCACCTAGTCAAAATGGTAAATGTTTAATTATAATTCTAGTATCATAAAATCCTAGATAGAGAACATTGGTCTTAAATTGAAATTATCCAAGAAAACATTGTAGCATAATAATAGTAAAATGAACTTGGACCGGATCGGATACTATCGGGTTGGAGATTTTAATTCCTCAACCTTATCCATTAGGTGCAGGTTCAATCATATTTAACCCATGAATATTTTTAAAAATCAAATACCCGATTAAATAGGATCGGGTAGGGTTGGGTCGGGCAGATTATGCGGGTTCAGGTTATTCTTGTGCAGCCCTACCAGGAATGCCTCTCTTTTCAACAAAATACAATCACTTGGCAAAACTGAGAATTGATTAACAAGGTGACATTTTAAAATCTGCTGTGTATGAATACAGATATACACACTATTAAGGGAGATTGCTTGAAACTTTACAACATTTTTTCTATCTTTTTTTTCACTTCATATGTTTATTATTTTTTCCTTTGCTGTTTTCTCCTCCAACTCAATTTCAAATCAAGTTTCCGCAATGTAAATATGTATCACGATTCACTCTTTGGCTGTGAATCTTCTTTCCCAACATGGGATGAGGACACCTCCTCCTGTAATTCAGTACTATCCCTATTCTCAACAAGTGAAGATGAAACCTCCTGTGATCCACTGTCTTCACTTTCAACATACGAATATGAAGCAGCATCCTCGATGGTTAGATTTGACAATCCACCAAGTGAGCTTTCTTCTTCACCATTGATTGATGGTGCTGGGGAGGAATCAGGAGAAAGCACTACAGAAGGAGATGGAGATGACTCTGTATCACTCACTGGTTGCTGAAGGCTCCAGTACATAATGCTGGCTGTGAGTGTCAATATCATCTTTTGGTTGACCTGTCAGTCAAAACACCAAATATAGAGAGGCTCAATAATTTTGTTATCTTATAAATGAGGGTGTTCTACTATTTTCCCAGATAAACAAATAAATAAAAATTATCAGTATAAACAACTAGAGCTACAACCGCAATGCCCTCACCCCGATGATATCCTCGGGCAGCAAAAATATTGAGCATCCAAGTTTTCGAGCAACACTGATGATATAAGTAGCATTTAACTTCTTTTCATCATCTGCAATTTGAAAAATATATAAAATATAAATATTCACCTCATTGGCAGTACATGTTGCGGATGAACTCACCCCACTGCCGCAAAGGCTCCCACCTATGGTGGGGTAAGGGAGGATCGGATGTACGCAACCTTACCCATGTACTAAAGCACAAAGAAACGCAAACAGTTTAGTGAGCCATTTTGCTTTATTCCATCATATTTCTAAGACAAAAATAGTGAGTCTTTGGCTCCATTGGAAATGATGGAACTAACTCAACCAAGTGTCCATTAGGTAAATAAAACATTTGTTCACCAACAATTGTTCACTTAGCATATACCAATAAAGCATTATAAAATGACCAAGTTCTACTCGCACATTTAATTAACTTCCTATTGGCAGAAAAAAGAAATTAACCTTAAAAAGTAAAACCCACAATTTTCCTTAATTGGCAGTTATGGAACATGTAAGGTATCTGAGCACTGAATGAGATATTAGATTCCATTTCTGAAAGCACTTTTTGGGATATAAAAGCACAAGGTACTACTTTCAAAAGCTTCAAATCCGAGCTTTTCTAAACTGCTAAAACACTCTTTTTCCCAAGAAAGTATTCTCAAGAATATCACTCTGCCCAATTCTAAAAATCCAGCGTAACCATTGTTGCGTAAAAAAGGCTTGTTCAAAGCGCTTTTGCTAAAAAGCACTTTTGCTCAAAAGTAGCTTTTCCACCACTCGACCATACACAGCCTAAAACAGTATGCATGAAAAGCTTGTGAATTGTGGTAAACTCTATACTGAAAATTAAAGGTATTGTTTTCAATAAGATAAAAATTAATACCGCTTTCACCCTTCGAAACAAGGTTCCAGTTAACAACCCGGGGCTCCACTGCACTGAGAAGATCAAGAAAAAAAAGCCCACTTGAAAGGCTTTTATCCTAAATAACCATTCCAAAAATAACATCACCATTCATCAGGCAACCATAGTGTAAGCATAATGATACTTCAAAAAAAGACACTTCTTCTAATGAACCTTAAAGCTCTCCATTTTAGATGTCCTTCCTGTGCTTTTCACTTTTTTGTTTGCCCAGTTCAGGATATCAATGTCACTTATCTCCTTTCCTTGAAAACGTGATCTCAAGTTCTTCAAGAGTTGGAGTATGTTAAACCTCATTAACTGCCACAAGAACGCTGGGAGAAGAAAGGGAACAGTAACTTAGAACAAAAAATAGTGAAATACTAAGAGATTTGGCCAAGAAAAAAGAGGACATGAAGACTATATGTGAAATAATACTGAATTAAATGAACATATTACCGAGAGTAAGTTTTTTATTCCCCTGAACAAAGTCATTTCCACCTACATTCACCAAGGAGAGTTTCAACTGTTTCCCAATCTTGACAACTTGGTTGCAATTCTCTACTTTCCTAAATGGCATCTTAATAGGAGGTTTCGTTGCGTGTTTCCAATTAACGGATCCAGGAGAAACCTTGTCCAGTGCCTCCAGAAGTACCCATCTAAAAGAAATGTGATACAAGCAGAGAGAAGTTTCTAAGGGTTGACTTCACGGGTCAAGAGGTCGAGCTAAGCTATGAAAATGTCAAACAAAATCATAACACCCCCTTTGTATAACAGTTTTACTGAAGGGGCCTTCAGTGTTCATCATTGACAATTATTATTTACACTTGCATACTAATAAATAATAATAATTCCGTTCAATAAATTAATATTTCAAAGATATAAGTTCAGAAATTGTTCATGAATATTTTCATATTGAACAAAATAAATCTATGAAAACTGATGGTCAATGCTAATTGCTGATGAATTTGGATAGAAAAGTCGGTGTAATTTAGTAACGGATGATGGGGCAATAAAAAACAGTAAGTCTGAAACTTTTAGAAGATATTTGCTGTATTTATATTTTTTAGTCTCCCAAGTGCTAATATGGTCTGCTACTGCTCACCCATTTCTGACATCCTCAAATAAATTGTTGACGTAAGAGGTGATGCCGAGACTATTGATCCATAGCCGGAAACATCTTTCTTCACGGGAAATTAGTTCATCATCCGTCATCATCTCCGCGAAGGAAATCTTCTTGTTGTCAGTAGACAGGCCATTCCTGTAAGAAAATGTTTTTTTCTTGATATGTGTTTTCTTTCATTTGATAATAAGCAATTAAGAATGAATAAGCATTAGGTTCACGCCTCTGATGGAAGATTTGGGCAACAAAAGCAAGATTCAAATTGGCTGAGCCTTCAACAATATCCTTCGGAGTCAAATATCTTTTGCAGTCCATCTTTTCTGCATGATCAAGGACCAGATTTGCCCTTTCAGCAGGATCTTTGATATCCAAGGTTGCTGGATTACAATACTCAGGCGCAAGTACATTAAGGAGGTAAGTGTATGCCTCTCCATCCTGCAGCACAAAAAAAATGTAATTTTCAAAGTAACCAAGACATAAAACCAAGACAGAAAATACCGCCTCAATTTCCCTGAGTAATGCTCAAGTACAATTGCACATTTTAGCTTCTGCTGCACTCCAGGGAAACTGAGAAAGCTAATCCAGCATTCTTCCGTTCCAGATGATGAGTTTATCACAAATGTTTTCTCATTCACGCAGTTAAAGGTTCGTTTCTATTTTTCACCAAGCGCTTCTTTGTTACAGAACAGTAAATTTCTTCCTTATCATGTCATCATCCCCTTGTTCCCAACTATGTTGGGTTCAGTCGAATGAAATTCATAATACCAATTAAGTGTTGAAGATTAGTAGCCGGTTATACTATCAATTCATCAAATAAAATATAAACAGTGGCAAAATTTACCCCAAAAAGTTCTTTCTGCTGCAAACTTCTAAAGAATGAATCATGATAAGAAATTCCAAACAGTCATTATATTTATTTTGCACTTGAATGAAGAAATTCACAAGATAATGATGAGTTGAGGCTTGAGATAGATGCACAATTATTTGAAATCAGGACCTTCTTTTGTGCAAAAATTTCTCGTATTAATTAGGAAAACTATAGGACAATCGACAATAATCCGACTTTGGCCGGTCTGCTTTAAATATATCATGTACGAGTTCTTTCAAAATAACCCCAATTATTTGATCAATCTTCACAATACCCCCTTGACTTGTTTAAGGGGTAATGGCCGGTTATTGATGGAGGGAGATATTTTGGTGGGTGATGGAAATGAGTTTCAGAGCCATAAGTTCCACACTTCCTTGCAAGATAAACCGATGTGAGCCCCAGCGTACTGCCTTTTTAAAATTAAGAAGAATTCAACAAGCATTGACAGAGCACCAACCTGGCCCCAGCCGTGCTTACTATTAGAGGGTCACTTGAGTCTATGTCATTCTGCCTCCAGGCTCCAACTGTAAATAGTTATATCTGCGATTGATGAGGTTTGGGGGGAAGAATGACCCACAGTAATTTCTTCAAACTGGGACAATTTGGAGTATTTTGGATAACTTCAGGGAATAGTAGCAATAATTGGGATTATTTTGAAATAACTCAAAGTCAGGATTATTTATAATAGATTGTTGAGATTATTATCATCATCTATTCCTATAAAGTTATGGCATGCGCATAAAATCCAAGTTAGACTATGCTACAAGTTTTGTTACCCGCTGCATGAAGAAGAAAGCCTCCATTCAGTGGCGTAACATTCCTAAATGCAAGAATTTTACCTTCAAGTCCGATGAAAAATTGGTTACAGGCTTTTTATAGCCACCTTTTTTTAGATGAAAATTCATCCATTTCAGTAAAACCTTCTCTGGGGCTAATCCCAAAAGCTCCTCAACATCCTGCAAATGAACCAGAAGTTTATATCAAAGAAAACAAATATATGTGGGAATGAAAACAAACAACAGCATAAATTTTCTTGTACATTGTTGTCCTCCACTAGTTCGACAAGCTGAGGAGTCTTCCTGAGGTTGAGATCAGCCAATAGTTGGATCTGAAAATAAATGGAAAAAATAAACTTATCAAATAATCAATCTGTTCTTATTGGGATAAAGTGAGACTATAAATGTACAGATTTTGCGCCAACAAGCTACCATAAACTTCCTTAAAATTAAAGCCTAAAAGTGAAATCTAAATCTAAACACCTACCTTTATGATTTGAGAAATCAACCCCAGAACCAAATGAGGCTGCAAAATTTTGAAATGACATTGTCAATCCAGAGAGACATATCTTACAAACATAAGCTCAAGATCAACACTTATAACTCACTCTTCCTTCAACCAGGTCCTGATTGCCTATATTCACAACAGTGCATCCAATAGCCTTTGCAGAATTGAGGCAAAGGGTATGATTCTCGTTTCTTTCCCATGGATTGAGTACTCTTTTCATATTAATTGCCCTTTCATCTATTGTACCAGGTACAGCAACATTGATCAGCTTACTGTAGAAAAACCAAAGGGGTCATTTCATCAAGTAAATACATTCAGCTCTGTATTGATAGGCTACAATCTTGGAGTATCATAAACATTCCAGAGTATAATACCATAAGAGAACTCCATCTTTTGCAAGATCAAACAACTCATTGGAACCTGGATCTACAGGAAGAAAGTGCTTTAAGAATGGGTCATCTCTGAGATAGCTGTTAATATGAGCAACATATGATGACTTTTCTGATTCGCTGATTGTGTGAAGTAGAGTAGTTGTGGTGTCCTTGAGAAATGAGGAAGGGCTTCCTGAACTACCAGATTTTGTTGCAGTTAGGGTTTGCAAATTCATGTATGTCTGCAGAGAAAATGAGTAGAAAAACCATACGTAATTACAACATTCAGGAGAAGAAAAGGATGGTAACCACAATACTCATTAATTTCCTTTTTACGGAATCCCAAGTTCCAAACAGAAGTAGTTCAATCCCACTGGCTTCTTCCATTAGATTGAACTAAAGTTCAAATATCCAGAATTCGAATTTCACAGCTTAGGAACATGCTAAGCACTCACCCTTAGGAAGCCTTCAAAATCGATCTCTTCAGAACTAGATTCTCCCAACATATTCCTAATCTCCTCCTCATTGAAGATATCACTGAATGCCTTCAGTTTCGCCATTAAAGGCGGCAAGTCGTCCACTGTTACTTTGCCTTTCTGATTCTTCGCAGATATGAACTGAAAAGAAGGATTCTAACTATTAATATTCTTCTTATTCAAATCTAAATTCCAACAACAACAAAACACAATCAAGCAATGGGAGGCAAAAACAGAAGAGGTTTACTTTGGATTTGAGGCTGCGAAGCTCAACTTGCGTGAACTGGCTTTGAAGCCATTGATCGGAGACGAGAACCCCCTGAAAACTCGACATCTCCCCCCAATCCCCAAACGGCGGGGACTACAAAATCAAACTCCCCTTGACTTCCGTGGAAAACTCCAATCTAAATCCAATCCAATCCTTAAAACCTCGCTCAGAAACACAACCAACAGACCGTGCAAAAGCAGTCCACCAAGTCTCAAGCAAAAAAAAATATGAAGAACAGAAGGGTTGAGCTATTGCGGCGTAGTCACAAGCACGTACCTCAAGAAAACTAAGGTCTCCACTTTTGTTTGTCGGAAGTTTGACTGTTGTCAATGGAGTTTACATGGGGGGAGTCGCTTGAACACAGAGCAAAAACACAGGGGAAGAGAGACAAGCCGAACTATGGGCTGCGGACGGTGGACTGTGTTGGAGGCCCACTTCGATTACTGATTTGCTAAACGCGCATGGATATCTCCGCACGCCATTTCGTTTTTTTTTAAAAAAATTGTGTTTAACGAGTTAGTGCGCTTGATGATATTTTCGCAATTTAAGTAGCAATCATAGTTTCTCTTAAATATAAGCACTAATACACTTTTGGTAGACATTAAATTTATTCGTTTAATATTGAACACCGTGTATTTCATATCTTCTAATTCTCTTTCTTTTTCTTATGTGATACGGTGATATGATACTTTTAAAATATGCATTCATATAAAATTTTAAAATAAATCTAGCATTAGTACCAAATGAGCATACATAACTTATAAAATGAACATTGATATAAAAATCGTAAGGTTTGTTAATTGAGTATCAAGACATTATCATTGATCATCAAACATCCTCTATTGAGTATTAAAATTATTCAAATTGAATATCATGATATGTGTTTACGTGTCTATAATCAACTCTTATGCGAACCAAATGTAATATGATATTTTTGAAATTATGTATACAATTCGTTTTTTATCATAAACCAACAACTTTCATTAATTAATCAAATCGTGTGTCACTTGGCTTACAAGAAAATCAGGAATAACATCATAAGAACTCCTATGGTCTCACACTCTCACATGAAAACATGTGCTCTAGCTAACTCATGAGCAACACGATTTGCAGACCGTTTACAAAGAGAGATGTTATAATTACTCTTTGTTCTAATAAGCTCTCTAATATCCTAAAGAAGTAAATTGATATAGGATAAACCTTCTCCATTTCTGATCCCCTGGATCACCGTAAGAGCATTCGACTCAAACTCCACAGCATACCATCCTGCGCCCAAAACCCCTCCTATGATGGCATCCTGCAACCCCGCGCCTCAATTTCTGATGGAGACCAACCCGCTTTCACTGAGACCCCTTGAGCTTTAATTTTGTAAACGCCCTGGTCATCACGATAAATCCATCCCCAAGCTCTAATATCCCCTGCCTGATTCACCACCACATCAACATTGACTTTAATCACCCCAGATTTCGCCCTTTTCCACACGATTTCGCTACCGAGAAGCGGCCTTCGAACCTTCGTTCCCCTGTGATGCGCCTCCTTGTAGTTGGATAACAAACTGGTTGCACGTGTAACAACTCCATCCGCCCCTCGCCGCTAGTTTTTTCAAACGAGGGAGTTTCAGCGTTTCCAAGTACTCCATAGAACATAAAGGAATTTGCACATGCCCTCCTCGCTTGGAAGCGGAAGCGGATTTTGAATCCACCCCTCCACTGGATCTGTCACTACCCACAAGAGAAGCCCGCCTGCTACCACACTTCTTGTACACGAGCACAAGACCGCAAAGCATGATCCAACATCTCTGTTGCACTACCCCACAACTTGCACTCTTCAGACACCGGCACATCCTGTTTCCTCATATTGCCAACAGTTGGTAAAGACCCATCCAAAACCTGCCAAGCAAAATATTTGAAAAGTCTTTCTTGTACAAAATACTTCCTCCAGAAGGCGGTACAAAACTTAACCTTTTATAGCGGCTTTTAACGTAAAAGAGTCCATCATTTTCTCCCCGTCCATCAGTATCCATCCTTCTTGTCCACTGAACCAGTAGGTATGCTTAAAACTAAAGAACTATCTTCATTACAAATGGAAATAATTTTCTCTCGGTTCCGACTCTTTCTAGCACTATCTCGTAAAGCTGTCACATTGATAGCCATTATATTTACTTGTGTTTAACATAAAAGTTTATAAGTATTTGTTGAATAAAGGAAGAGAAATCAGGCAAATACCTTCAGAATGAGAGCTAGAGCATAAAACATTGCGATGAAGAGCTTTTTGGACCAAGAGGATGACATTCTACACATAATTCGAGTATAACTTATTGTAGAGAACTCGAAATCACTCGATTCAAATTTCATGTGAATTTTAACTCAATAAGGTACAAATGTTATGAAGACGTCATGTCCCGAATATGAAAGGATCGAGACTCAATCAACCAATAAAGTCAGATGTTGCTGGTGGAATTTCAAGATGCATACCTCTTAGTGTTTTATGACTTTGTCCATATCTTTTGATTGGATGAATAAAATCACGTTATTCAAGTTCTGATGGATAGACGACTTCATTATCTACAACTTTCGTGAAGGAATCATGTCCAAATTCGTAGCGGAACATCCCCAAAATCTCATGACAAAACCGGCGCCGGAATTTCACTAAACCGGCGCCGGTCTTTTGATTTTCAACACAAGACCGCTTGGCAGTAGCTTACCCGGCGCTGGGTTGGCCTGATTCTGCACAAAACACAACATCATGCAAGCTGATTTTTGATGGGAAAACTTCATCTTCCTCAATGTTAATCAAATATTGGTTCCATACCTGATTGTTGGGTTCGAATAGGCCAAAAGATGTCATTCTTTAGCCTATATAAAGCCCTCAATTCATCAAACAAACACATTACATTCCATAGATTAATTCTTAGCTTTTACATAGTATATTTTTGTTCTTGGTGTTTTCTTAAAGTTTTTGAGGAGGGAAGTTCATCCTCCAAAATCATTGGTGTCTAGGTATTATTTCCTTTGTAATTTCATGTTCCATTACATTTATTATTATATTGTGATTAATATGAGCATTAGAGGCTAAATTCTTAGCTAATGATAGGGATGAACTTCTATGTCCACTAGGTGTTTGATAAAAGTTCTAAACCAATAAATTGTGATTTATCCTTTATACATTGATTGTTTATGACTATGGTGTACAACATAGAAGTATGTTAAATTTAGTTTATACTTGCAATCAACGTTTAAGTCTAAACTATGAACATTAAAGGATAAACATATATAGTACTGAGAATATAAATATATCCGGTCTTATATGATACGGGTGTGATGTCTTGATATTCAACGGGGTTTTCGGTAGATGAATGTAAGCCATAACGGGACTTAAACGTAACGAAAACCACGCTCTCGCTGCCTTAATCGGGGTTGAGAATATATTAGCGACATCGTATTCATAATTGTTGGGATATTGATCCAGAGGCCCAATACCCGGATCAAGAAGGCCCAAGATACCCGGCCCAAACAACGATCCCATCACTCTATGATGAGTAGATCCAATGAAGAATTCATGTCGAACGAGGTTCGGCCCAAGTAAGGGCCGGCCCAGAAAGAAGATATACCGACCGGGGTTTGGACTATATATCATACTTGGGCCAATTTGACAAGCGTCTTCAGCATGGTCCAACATCCCGTTCGAGCAACGAACAACCAGCAAGTGGCCAGGTGCAAGATTGTGACATCAGCAAGTGGAAACATGGGTGACCAAGTCGGTGGAACAACAGCCAATCAGCATAGAGCAGCCCATGCTCTCCATTAGTATAAATAGAAGGTTTGAAATCATTGTAAGGGTTAGCATTTCAATACTCAGGCTCTAGAATAGCATCACTGCTCTTATTTCTTGTATTGAAGCATTATTCCGACCTACCGATCGGTAATTTCCTTGTGATCAGACAGGTTAATTAGTACGAGTGGGATTTTGAGTATTAGTGAGTTCATATTTTATATTTGGTTATACACTTTGATTCTGTACCATTCCGGATATATCCAAAGTTCGTGTTGGACTTTCGGATCTACGGGACTTACCTTCAACATTGGCGCCGTATGTGGGAAACTGTTCAAAAAGTTTCACAATCAATTATCCTAGAACAACTATTTTCGAAAAATGGTCAGAATCAGTTCTTATCACACAAACGACGGTTCACGCCGTCACGGAAGGAGTCACGCCCCGGGAAATCAAACCCCTCAGGGACAATCCAGCCGAGGATCGTATCCTCGTTTTGATGGGGATTTTGTGATTCCTGAAGCTCTAAGGAGAAATCCTCAGGCCATGCGAGATATGGCCCAGGTCATGCAACATATGGCAAACGAGGAGGAAGGAGGGTCCAATTTTACAGGGGAAACTCCACGCACGGAAACAACCACAGCGTCATCCCGTTCGCATGTCCATCGGGATAATCGCCGTGGCGCCCCACCAACAGTGCATCATAGTCCCAGTGACCGAACCCCGATCGGATCACAAGCCAGGGGACCAACTCCTATTGGTCGTCATTTCCAGTATGCCGAACGGGATAATACCAGGGCCGCTCAAAGGCATTGGGACCGGGAGTATACGGATTTAAGGGCTCCACCACCGCCCCCTTTGACAGCCCAGGAGGAAGAAATGGCTGAGATGAGGAGGCAGATGAACGAGATGCGAGATCAGATGAACAGGGCGCTTGTACAACCTGCCCCAATTCAGCTCGGGATTACTTCCCCTTTCACCAGGGAAATCATGTATGCGGACATCCAAGGAGGTGCCAAACCACCGACCGGTCAAATCTATGACGGGGTGGGAGATCCCCATGTGCATTTGAGGAGTTACCAAGGGGGACTCATGCTACTAGGAGCACCCGAGGCTGCTATTTAGTACGCTCAGAGGGCCCGCCCAGGAGTGGTTCGGGACACTGCAACCCAGGTCGATCAACAGTTTCGCCGAATTATCGACGTTATTCTTGGCCCAATTTGCTTCCAGTGCCAATCCGAAACGGCATTTCAGCTACCTGACCAACGTGAAGCAAAACTCCAAGGAAACCCTCAATCAATTCTTAAAAAGATGGAGGGACGAAACTCTGACAGTGGGAAATATGACGGATGATACCGCCATCACCCTATTCACGAACGCTCTCCGAACGGGAGAGTTGTACAAGGATTTGAAGAAGAGTCCGGGTACAGCATATGTTGAGGTATTAGACAGAGCTCACAAGCATGCTGCCCTGGAAGAGGAGATAATGATCAGGGATAAGGTCGTTGCGCCTACTGCCCCGATCAAGATGGCCGATCGGATGGGTCCTAGCCCAGTGGCCGCTATACCTCCCAAGCAAGGGAGATTTACCCCCTGGTCCTGTCAGTGGCGACCATTTATCAGAACGAGAGGGACAATATTCCCCTCCCGACTGATTCTTCACAATTTATGGGAGCAGATGAGTCTGCTTTTTGTAAATATCACAACAGGAAAGGTCATGCCACCAACGCCTGTAGGGCCCTACAAAC